TCCTGTGAATATTAATTTGACAACTTTGTAGAGTGGAAACTATTGAATTAGTTCATCCCAGACTTTGGTAGAACATGTTTAAAATAGTACAGTGTGAACTGCAATTTCTTTCTGGCTGGTATAAATTTATTAAGTAATATTTTTTCATACTAAAAAGACTCAAATATCTTTTTTAATTAAATCTTACAGCCAATGGGAGCACATATGCTACAACCTCTGCTTACTTTGGACTAAATGTTTTTTTTTTCAGGTGCAGAGCCAGATTTTTTTCTCAGAAAGCAAAGGCACTGGAACTACATGTATTACAAAAACATACCGGTGCTATTCACTGCGTGTCTGACAATTGTATAAAGTTTCGCAGGTCCTCTTTTTTTTTACTTTGAGAAGTTCTGTCAACCAAAGCATAAATATGTGTTTTCTCTGCACATAAAATTTCACACGATTTGTTAATATTAATGTATGATAATAAAAACTTGATAATATTCTTCTGGATTTTTGTATGAGAAGTAATCTTGTCCTTATTAGAGATATTGAAACTAATCCAGGGCCACAAACTAGTTTATCCAAACAGACACAAACACTGACTCTACATATTTGCAGATCTGATTTGTATACTTCCTTGTCATTTTACCTGTTGTACTGGTTTGGTGCTATCTGGTTTCCTTGCTGAGAATAATGCTGACCTGGATGGAGAGTGCTATAAACTTGAAAATGCCATAGAAATCATGTTTGCCAATTTATGTCCATGCAACTTTAGAATGACAACTAGCGAAGGCAGTGTCATTCATGACTTGTTTTATATAAATCAGTGTAAACAGATGTAGTACCTATTTAAACATTGCCATCATCAATTTTAGGAAATTCTCAGACTTGACCTGTACTCTGAGTACATTATTGCAGGTCAAATCATGAAGAAATGCATTATTTCAGAAATTACTTTGCATCAAGATGTTGAGTACAATCAAAAACATATGACGATGAAGATAATGATTTAGATTTTGACTTAATAACTGTTTTTCAACAGACCCTAATGATTTTTACATTTTTAATGTAATGTAAGTGTACTTATTTTTTGTAAACATTCCTGTTTTTTCATTCTAAAAGTGTTGTGAAAATCAGTGACAACACAACTCATTTCACAATTTTTATTTTCCCCAAAGAGATGTAATAATTAATTTCCTCCTAGTCTAGCATATGGTGAACGAAGCTTGGCATTTGTATAATTTTGCAAGAAAGTAGCTTGACTAAACTAAAAAACATTTTTTAAGCTGTATACCTTAAGTGCTTTGTCAAACAAGTGTGATAGTTATGTCTGGAGTTAATGAAGGTTTTTCATCAATTTAGTGTGCTTGTATCATTGATTTTGTTTATATGTGAGGGAAAAATAATGTCTTTCTTCATGTCATTGTCGTATTTTTCTTGAAAATTGCTACAATAACGATAAATTTTATCCGATAATTTTAAAACCTAGAAATCTTATTATTCAATTTAAAATCTCAACCAAGTCCGATTTTTGTGGGTTTATTTCATTATCCATTCTAACACTAATTCTTAAGCGTTATTTTTATTTCATAGTGATGCTGCTTTAATACTCACTATGAAATTTAAATAAATTATTATTATTATTATTATTATTATTATATATTGGTAAATCAAGTTATGATTTGTACTGTACTTAGGTGATATCTGGTGGGATAAAATTGAGAATTGTGACAATTTCCTCCACTGGGTTCCTTTCGATTTTTACGAGCAGCATGACGAGGTCGCTTTCTATGTGAGAACCAACACCAATCTGAAACCAGCCGCATGCAGAGGTCATTGCATCGATAAATCCCCACTATTTTCACTTGTTGGTGAGTATAGTAGCATAATGTTGTTTTGTTTGTGTGTGCTCTGCATGCTAATGAGCTATTTGCATACGCCAGGAGCGACTTCATTGTTGGAAGCCTGGACTTAAAATAGGAACTAGAGAAAATTCCCATATTCTCCAAATCATTAACTAATCATTAAATTTCCACAAAACCCAGATAAAAATATATGGTCATCAAACTACTTTTCACACAAAACACAGGTCAAACTATGGAAATGGAGCTTATTTACCATTGGTTTCTATGGTACACCAATCATCTCTCAAAATTTTGTTTGGTTACGTGTGGACATTTTGATTCTGTTATTTACTCGGGATGAACCCCGATGTTGCAATACTGAAATAATCCATATTTCTTTTGAGTACTAGTTTTCCAAACGGCAAAAATGTGATCGTCAAGTCGTGAAACCTGGTCATTGAACATCGTTTTACTTTCCCGAACAATCATGTCCATTGAGTCTATCGTGACTTAGGTGTGAACGAGCAAACTATTCTTTGACATGACTTGTTGGTGGCCGTGAAAGGTTTAAATACTTCTCCCACCCTCAGTTTACCTTTCGAAAATTGCGAATCAACATCTTTTAGGAAAAAAATCTTGTTTTTTTTGTCGAAATCAGTGTTAACAGATCGCATTTTAATATCATGGTAATTCACTTCCGCATTGCGTTGAAAAAATTACTTAGTCAATAATTGGAAAACTTCGTCTGTATGACACATCATTTTCATTGGTTAACGAAAGACGTGCCTGTTAGGTCAAAGGAAGTTGTTCAGGTCAAATCATGATGAAAAACACCATGGCGAAAATAGCTTTGTATCGAGAGTTTGTTTACGATCGAAAACATTCCACAACGAAGATAATGATAAAGATCTTGCCTTCAACCGTTTTCCCACAGACCCTACCCATTGTTGCACCATAAATTCAGATGGTATGTAAACCGTATTGTAATAAAATTTGTTTGTTTCTTCATTGTAAAAAGTGTCGTTGAAATCAATGACGACTCGTTTCACATTTTTTTCCGGCACTGTGAACGAAAAATGTAATTTAGATAATTTTTTGAGGTTGGGAAGATGGTTACAATTTCAAACCCA